AGAGTGGGGGTGGGGGGAGGGACGGAGTGCGGTAGGGGAAGAGGCGGTAGTAGGGGACCGACTCGTCAAACGTGACGTCCTGGGAGGACAGAACACGGCGAGAGGTGGGGTGGTAAAACTGCCACCCAGGCGCGTCAGGGGGGAACCCCAGGAAGACGCAAGGAGCAGCACGAGGGGATAGTTTGTCCGCAGACAGGTCGCGGACAAACGCCCGAGATCCCCAGACCCGGAACGCCGACGCATCGCCAACCTTCCCCATCCACAGCAAGGCTGGGGAGGTCTCCGGCCTGGAGACCCTGGGGTGGAGGTTGATCTGATGCGCCGCGTACCTCACTGCAAACGGCCACAGAAAATGGGGGGCAGCCGCATGCATCATAGACGTACGAGCGACGTCCATGACCATGCCAATGCGGCGCTCAGCAATCCCATTTTGCTGCGGTGAGTCCGGAAGCGTGAAGGTCTGACGGATGCCCCGTGCACGACAGTAGGCACGCAGAAGGCCAGAGGAGAACTCTCCGCCTCTGTACGAGTGCAGACGCAGAACAGGAAAGTCCGAGCCGAAGCTCTGCCTGAGCTGGAGACGAGCTGCGCGGATCCAGTCGATCAGCACCTCAGTGACATCACCCTTGCTGCGCAAGGGGAAGACTGTGGTGTAACGCGAGTAGTCGTCAACAACGAGCAGGAAGTAGCGCTCGTGACCCTGTCCACGGACGCGGGCTGGGCCCCACACGTCCATGTGAAGTGTCTGCAACGGGGCCTCTGTCGGAGGAAACTGGGAGGAGTGAGGGGCAGCACGCAGGCGCCCCTCGACACAGGGGACACAGGCAGGGCCAGGGCCCTGAGGAAGGGGAGGGAGGGACCGGGGGAGACCGGACACAAGAAGACGGGAGGCCATACCTCTGAGCCGAAGCAGAGAGGGGTGGCCAAGGCGGTGGTGCCAGAGGAGAGTCTCGTGAGACAGGAGACGACACGAACAGGGGGCAGACTCAGGACCAGACCTGGACGCCGCAGCAAACACCTGACCCGACGTAACTACCCTACCAGACTCAGCAACTGGAGGAGACGCAGTGGTCAGAGTGTACAGGCTCGACCCCGGCTGACGGGTGAACGTAGCCAGGTGTCGGCCTGTGCCAGCCTCTGTACAGTGGGTCACTCTCTGACGTGCAGGAGTGAACTGGTGGACCCCCGCATCCTGTAGGTCAGCACCACTCACCAGGTTCGTAGAGAACGAGGGGAGGTAGAGACCAGACAGGGTGCCAGAGGGAGCCGCCGGACACGGGAGGACTGTGGAGAAGCGAGACAGGACAGGACCCCCAGAGGGGTCAGCCAGAGACAGTGCAACCGGTCGACTCAGCGGTGTGAGTGTGGTGCGGTCCCGAAAGAAGGAGCGAGACGCCCCAGAGTCAAGGGTGAAGGTGAGGGAGGCCGAAGCCGACGCAGTACCTGAGAGCGCAGACTCACCAGTACCTGAGGACGCAGACACACGAGCACCTAGAGCAGCAGCGTCGCAAGCACCTAGGGCAGCAGCCTCACCAGGACCTAGAGCAGCAGTCTCAATGCCCGGATCGGGCGGGAAACACCGGTAACAGTCACCCTCATCACTAATAGACACAGCATACATGGCAGAGAGAATAGCATCAAAGTCAAGATCATAGATGGCAACACCCGCCCTAGACAGCTCGCCCCAGCGAGGGATCTCGGAGGCCTCCGGGAACTGGTGACGCCACGCGTCCGTCAGGCGGCCAAAGCAGCGCTGGGTGGGGTGGGCACCCCCACACTGCTCACCCGCACGGTCGCCAGTGCGCAAAACGTAGGAGCACGGACCAAAACCCCCACCCCGCTGACGCGCAGTGTACCACTCACGAAGCTGCTGAGGGGACAGTGTGTCACGACCACGCTGCTGCTGCTGGCGCGAGCCACCACCGGAGCCACTCCTCTGCGAAGACCCGCGACCAGCACCACCGCCACCCCCGCCGCCTCCGACGCCTCCGCCGCCTCCGCTACTGCCGCCGCCTCCGCCTCCGCCGCCGCCTCCACCTCCGCCACCTCCGCCACCTCCGCTCCCACCGCCACCGCCGCCGCCACCTCCACCTCCACTGCCGCCACCGACCCCTCCACCCCCACCTCCACTCCCACCGCCACCCCCACTCCCCCAACTGCCGCCACCTCCACCTCCACCGCCCCCGCTCGCTCCTCCAGCGCCCTTGCCCCCCTTGCCCTTGCCAGAGCGGCGTCTACCGCTAGGGGCAGACGCCGCACCGACCGACTCAAGAACAAGGAGGTCGGCCGCAGCAGCAGAGGCAACAGAGGGCAGAAGGGGGGAGGGGGAACACCCCTCAAAGATGGGGGTGCGCGGGTCACCACGAGAGGCCCCTACAGCGACTATGCTCTTCTCGGCCGCTAGGAGGGACTTTCTCGAGGAGGTCAACAGTGAGAGTGGTGGGACAGACAGAGAGAAAGTGGTCCCTGACTACGCGAAGGGAGTCAGGAAGGCGAGTGACTATGTAGTAAAGAGTGATGTACATGGGGGGGGGGTTCCTGGCGCAGAAGTCAGCGCGGTAGCGAGTGTCACTAGTGCGGAGGTGCGTAATGAGGTCAGTGACTGTGGGAAAGGCAGCAAGATCAGGAAAGAGGTACGGTAGCATGAGACGGCTCAGTGCAGCAGTGGCAGGGGAGGAGTAGCGCGCAACTACAGCGTCGTACAAGGTCTGAGCACTCTTGTACTGACTAAAGTGCGCACGCTCGGAGGTAGGGAGGTGGCGACGCACAGCAAGACGTGCAGCAGCGTCGCGCATGGCCCACTGGGAGCGAACAGTGGCGTCAGCATCAGCAGTAGGGGCAGTGGAGGTGCCAGAGGTGAGGTCAAAGAGAGAGAGGCCGTCTGCCCTATCGCACTGTAAGAACAGCTGCAGGTCATCTACCCAGACCTCAAAGTCAATGGCCCTACCCTCAGCGTCAAAGGCGAGAACACTAGGGGTAGCCATGACCCTAGACGACTAGCAGCGCAAACAGTAGGGTGAGGACAGTGCAGTGAAAAGGCGCTGTGCTCACCAGACTGGGCAGGTCGGGCGGCCCTGAAGGAGGGCGGCGCGGCGGCTCGGCGGCTCAGCTGCTGGGCGGCCCGGCGGCTCGGCGGCTCCGCTGCTGGGCGGCTCGGCTGCTGGGCGGCGCGGCCGCTGGGCGGCTCGGCTGCTGGGCGGCTCGGCTGCTGGGCAGCTCGGCTGCTGGGCGGCTCGGCGGCTCGGCTGCTGGGCGGCTCGGCTGTGCTGCTGCAGGGCGGCACGGCTGGGCAGCAGGTGACGGGGCCGCAGGTAAGGGCGGCGGGGCCGCTGGTAAGGGCGGCGTGGCCGCGGGTAGGGTGGCGGGGTCGCAGATAGGGTGGCGGGGCCGCAGCAGAGGGCGGCGGGGCCGCAGGTAAGGTGGCGGGGCCGCAGGTAAGGTGGCGGGGCCGCAGCAGAGGGCGGCGGGGCCGCAGGTAAGGGCGGGGCCGCAGGTAAGGTGGCGGGGCCGCAGGTAAGGTGGCGGGGCCGCGAGGAAGGGCGGCGGGGCCGCTAGGTAGGGCGGCGGGGCCGCGCGATGGGGCGGCGGGGCCGCGAGGAAGGGCGGCGGGGCCGCGCGATGGGGCGGCGGGGCCGCGCGATGGGGCGGCGGGGCCGCGCGATGGGGCGGCGGGGCCGCTAGGTAGGGCGGCGGGGCCGCTAGGTAGGGCGGCGGGGCCGCGCGATGGGGCGGCGGGGCCGCGATGGGGCGGCGGGGCCGCTAGGTAGAGCGGCGGAGCCGCGCAATGGGGCGGCGAGGCCGCGAGGTACGGCGGCGGGGCCGCTAGGAGAGAGGCGGCGGGGCCGCTAGGTAGGGCGGCGGGGCCGCTAGGAGAGAGGCGGCGGGGCCGCGAAGACGGGCGGCGGGGCCGCGGAGACGGGTGGCGGGGCCGCAGTGCAGGGCCGCTAGGGCGGCTCGACGAAGTGAGGGCCCGGAGCGCGACTCGGGCTGAGCGCGCTTCGGGCAGGAAAAAAAAAATCGATGTGGTGGGCCCTAAGCACAGTTCCCAAGGGGGAACCTGCTCGATACCATGAGAAGATTTGAACAAGAATGGATGAACTATGAAATGAAGTGAGTACAAATATGAAACCCTAATTGGTTGTACCCCCTATGGAATACCCCACTATAGCCTACACAACAGCATAAGCTATAATGTTCTGACAAAGACCAGTCGCCAGTTAAACGTCCATAGATCTCAACAGTTTAAGGCCGTTACAGCTTGTACACCGCACGTTTCGTCTTGTGACGAAACGAGATAAGTTTTTGGGGCAGCGTGTGACTATCCGTGATAGAATCCCGAATTTTGTGACCATCCGTGATAGATATCTAGATTCTGTGACCGTTCGCGATAGCCACGTGACTTTTTGTGATTAAGAGCCCCTGTTTGTGACTGCCTATATATTAAACCTTTTGTTTTTGGGCGAGACTTTTTCGCTTTGCTACAATGCTATGAGACCTGCGAGGGCAAATGTGAGGGCAAATGTGCATGGACCTGCGGCGTTTTTTCCGATCTCCCCCCTCCAACCTGCGCCAGCTCCCCCATGGCGCAGGTTGTCCGCGGAGCGGTCAAACCAGGGTCAAAATTCGTTGACCCTGGGTTGACGCGCGCCTCACCTTCCGCTTCCTGCCGAACTAAGCCCAGGTCACGCGTCCCACATTTCCCCGTTAGTACATTCCTTGCTCGTTCTCTACAGTGCACTCGTCACAATTCAAAAGCAATTCTCCACGTACTGGGTTTCTGCATAAAACTTGTCTCTCCAATAGAAAGTTCTGCGATAAGCCAAAATCTGTGTGACCAGCGCGATCCCACCAATGTGCTTCCCGTAAGACCCGCCTTACAGCTGCCGCGCAGCGGGACTGTCTTGCAGTGACCCACGGGAACGGCGGAAACAGCGCGAAGAGAGGCAGCGCGGAGAGAGTGCAGGCAGGCGCGAGCGGCGAGCGGCGGGCGAGCGGCGCAAATGGCGGCTGCGACGCTGGGGGGTGTCACGCCAGGCATGGGGGGCATGCAGCCGTCAGCGCAGGCGCCGATGCCGCGGCTGCACATGGCGCAGCCGCAACCGCACGTGCCGCAGCCGCAAACGCAGCCGCTTCCGCAGCAGCAGCAGGTGGCGGGGCAGAAGAAGCGCGGGGCGGTGAAGCAACTTGTGGTGGTGGTGGAGGGCACGGCGAGCATGGGGCCGTCGTGGGCGCTGCTGAGACGCCTCTACCTCCACCCGCTGCTCAAGTGCGTCGTGCGTGCGCCCTCCCACTTGGCTCTCGGCTTCACTTCCGTGCTGCTCATGCGTGCCCCATCCACTCACCCCTCTCGTCCTGCTCTCTCGTCTTTTTCCCTTCAATTCCCGCTCTACTCATCGCATCCCTGTCCTGTATTCTCCCCGTTCCCCTCCGTGCTTCGCCCTCCTCTTTCTTCCCTACCCCCCCCTGCCCTCCGCCCCCTTTCCCTCCGTCTGCCACCCCTCCTGCCCTCCGCCCCCTTTCCCTCCGCCCCTCTGCCATCCCCCCTGCCCTCCGCCTCCTTTCCCTCCGCCCCTCTGCCACCACCCCTGCCCTCCGCCCCCTTTCCCTCCGCCTCTCTGCCACCCCCCCGGCCCTCCGCCCCCTTTCCCTCCGCCCCTCTGCCACCCCCCCTGCCCTCCGCCCCCTTTCCCTCCGCCCCTCTGCCACCCCCCCTGCCCTCCGCCCCCGCGCATGCCGTGCTCGCCAGGGCCTTCTGCGGCGTCGACTCTCTCACACAGGTCAGGGGGCAGGGGGGGAAAGGGCAGGTCAGGGCGGGGCAGGGGGGGAAAGGGCGGGTCAGGGCGGGGCAGGGGGGGAAAGGGTGGGTCAGGGCGGGGCAGGGGGGGAAAGGGCGGGTCGGGGCGGGTCAGGGGGGGATTGGGAGGGTCAGGGCGGGGCAGGGGGGAAAAGGGCGGGTCAGGGCGGCGCAGGGGGGGAAAGGGCGGGTCAGGGCGGCGCAGGGGGGGAAAGGGCGGGTCAGGGCGGCGCAGGGGGGGAAAGGGCGGGTCAGGGCGGGGCAGGGGGGGAAAGGGCGGGTCAGGGCGGGGCAGGGGGGGAAAGGGCGGGTCAGGGCGGGGCAGGGGGGGAAAGGGAGGGTCAGGGCGGGGCAGGGGGGAAAAGGGCGGGTCAGGGAGGCGCAGGGGGGGAAAGGGCAGGTCAGGGCGGCGCAGGGGGGGAAAGGGCGGGTCAGGGCGGGCTCAGGGGGGGAAAGGGCGGGTCAGGGCGGGGCAGGGGGGGAAAGGGCGGGTCAGGGCGGGCCAGGGGGGGAAAGGGCGGGTCAGGGCGGGGCAGGGGGGGAAAGGGAGGGTCAGGGCGGGGCAGGGGGGGAAAGGGCGGGTCAGGGCAGGGCAGGGGGGGAAAGGGCGGGTCAGGGCGGGGCAGGGGGGGAAAGGGCGGGTCAGGGCGGGGCAGGGGGGGAAAGGGAGGGTCAGGGCGGGGCAGGGGGGGAAAGGGCGGGTCAGGGCGGGGCAGGGGGGGAAAGGGCGGGTCAGGGCGGGGAAGGGGGGGAAAGGGCGGGTCAGGGCGGGTAAGGGCGGGGCGGTGCGGGGCAGGGCGGGTCTCAGCATATCAGCACGTCTCGGCTGTTTCCTCGTCCCCGTTCTCGTGCCTCCTCCACCCTCCTCCCGTCTTCCCTCCCTTGCTGCTCGTTCGACCTCTTCCACCTTCCTTCTCTCACCGCCTACAAATGCTATCCACTCATGCATGCTCACTGCCGCTCACTCTCCTGCCATTCCACTGACTTCCATGCCACTGAATCTCGTTCACTGCTCTTCATTCGCATTGGCTCGGGTTGACTTTCACTGACTGGCGCTGACGGTCGTTGACTGGCGTTGACTGGCGTTGACTGGAGTTGACTGGCGTTGACTCTCATTGACTGCCGTTGACTGGCGTTGACTGGCGTTGACTGCTGTTGGCTGCGTGGCAGAGGGCGGGCTCAGCAGCGGTGGAGCTGGCTCTCGTCGTCTACCACTCGCACGGCTCCTTCTCAGGTGCGCCCTTCTCAGGTGCGCCCTTCTCAGGTGCGCCCTACTCAGGTGCGCCCTTCTCAGGTGCGCCCTTCTCAGGTGCGCCCTTCTCAGGTGCGCCCTTCTCAGGTGCGCCCTTCTCAGGTGCGCCCTTCTCAGGTGCGCCGTTCTCAGGTGCGCCCTTCTCAGGTGCGCCAACTTCTATCATGGATGCAGCGTGAGCCCTTCCCAGGTGAGGCGTCCTTCTCAGGTGCGGTGCCCTTCTCAAGCGCACTGCATTGCCCCTGCTGGGTGCATGCCAACCCCCTTTCCCCTCCTCCTCTTCCCCTTGCAGCCTCTCAACCTTTCCACACACCCTGCACTCGCGCTTCTTCAAACGCCCTCCTCCACACTCCATCACACACCTGCCACACCACACTCTCCCTGCACCGCCCTCCTCACATCCTTCTCCCCTCCTCACTCAGCCTCCTCTCCAGAGGGACCATTCAAGGCGATGCAAAGCCATCTGTGCTCTCCTCCCTCTCTCCTCCGCTCGCCGCCATCCACCTTCATCCCCGTCCCCCACCCTGCCAGCCTCGCTGCTGCAGCAGACGCCCTTCACGGCATCACCTGCCGTCTTCCTCTCGTGGCTCGACACGCTCTCCTTCTCGGGGGGCGGCGCTGCTGATGCTGCCGTTGCTGAGGGCCTCTCAGAGGCGCTGCTGGTGAGTTGAGTTCATGCGAGGGGCTGGCGGTAGGGAGTCGAGCAGTAATGAGTGCAGTAATGAGTGCACCAATGAGTGCAGTAATGAGTGCAGTAATGAGTGCAGTAATGAGTGCAGTAATGAGTGCAGTAATGAGTGGAGTAATGAGTGCAGTAATGAGTGCAGTAATGAGTGCAGTAATGAGTGCAGTAATGAGTGCAGTAATGAGTGGAGTAATGAGTGCAGTAATGTGTAGAAGTGTAAGGATATGAGTGCAGGAGCAGCAGTGCAGGCCACCACTTGCAGAGATGATGTTGTTGGGTTGGGAGGAAATAACGCAGGAATTTAGTAGCGAGGCGGTTGGGAGAAGGGGCATGGAGGTGAGGTGGTGGTGATGCTGGTGCACGCGGAATGAAAGCACAGCAGGGGGGTGACAATGTGGGTGCCCATTCAGTGTCTCACCATGAACCCGATCACCGTTGCCCTACGCCTCGCCTCCCTCCCGCCCGTTGCCACAAAAACTATGTGGTGCCCGTGGTAGCCCAGCGCCACCCTCCCACCTCACATGCGCCTGCCTCTTCCCCCCTCCTCCCTCCTTCCCTCCTGTTCACCCCTCCCCCCCGCCCACCCCCCCACGTCAGATGCTGTGCCCCACAGCAGCCCCAACTGCCACCCCACCAGCGGGCCTGGAGCGCCACAAGCACGTGGTGCTCGTCGCTGCCTCGCCGCCCCACCGCCTGTCCACCCCCGTCGTCAAGCCGCCCCTGCCCACCGCCCCATGTGCTGCTGATGGGTGTGCGACGGCAGCAGGGGCTGGTGCGGGTGGGGGTGCCAGTGGTGGGCCCAGCGGGGGCGCGCACACATGGGAGGCAGCAGCGTGGTGGGTGGCGTCCGCCCCCTTGGTGGCCTCGCTCTTCGCCCACCCCCAGGTGCACACACTGTGGCTGAGAGCAGCGCAGCGCAGCGCGTGACGATGGGAGCATGCTGCATGCTCTGCTGCATCCCGGTCGCCGTTTCTTACCCTTGCTGTTCGCTCCTCTTTCATCGTCTCTCTTCTTCCCTCCTTTTGCCACACCGTTGCCGACATCTGTTCCTCGTTCACCGGCCTCAGGCGTAAAGCACTCACATTTTGTCTGCCTAACTTTCGTGAGTTGGCCCATTGCAAGTTTGCACTCCACTGAGCTGCACGCGGCTTGTTATCCCATGCGCATGCCGTGTGTATGTGGCATCGTGTGGGGCATGCCCTCTCTTATCCCCTGCATGCCCTGGTCTACGACATGGCATGGCATGGCATGGCATGGCATGGAATGACAGCTCTATGTCACGCTCTCTCTCATCGCCCCTCGCAACGTTCCTCAACTGAGACAGCTATACGTTGCGGTAAGCCCCTCCCTCCCTCCATAATTCATTACAAGGCCCTCCTTCCCTCTGCTGTGCCACCATCGCTTCCCATCACTTCTCTCCAACCGTGCACTCCGTCCGCGTGTCCCCAGCGCGGCGCGGCACCGCACTGACAATCGCAGCGCCGAGTGCACCCTGTCACTGCACTGCCTGCACTGCTGTCCAGCTTCTCACTTCTCCCGCAAATAGCACAGCCGTTGCATCCCCACGTTCACCTGCTGATCGAAATCAGAGACGGTGAAGTCACTCACCCCCCACCCATACAGCCCTGGGCTACGCGTTTTGTTGGGCAATGATGACCGTCCCCCCGTCCCCTCCCCCACTACCTCCTTCCCCAGGCAAAGCGCAGCCCTAGGGCGGCGGAACCTTCGGCGGACGCAGCCCGGCAGCACCCCCACCACGTGGCACTCATTGCTGAGGGCTTCCTGGAGGCACGCACCGTGCTGCACCGCGCTCCACCACCCAATGAGGGCCCGCCACGTGGCGCACAGGCGGTGGGCCCCTCTCCTGGTGGAGGAGGAGGAGGAGGGCCTGGGGCGGGGGCTGGTGGTGTGCCTGCGGTGGCGATGGCGGGTTCAGTAGGTATGGATGAGACAGGCAGAAGCCATTGGTTTATGAGTCTAGTAAAAAATGGTTTCTGGACGTGGACATGAAAGCAACTTGCTTCATCTGGTCTCACTGCACTTCTCCTCGAAAAATATCTTCCAGACGCCTCCAGTAATAATTGTGGCGAGGGAATGTGAAGTTGTGTATTCGTCTTTGTGTTCCTCGTGCTTGCATCCCACAGGGCGACTGCCACAACAACCGGGGCCGCCCATGGGTCAGCAGGCAAAGCAGGTGGGTGGGCAGTGTGAGTGCGTTGCTTGCGTGCCGACGCTGATGTTCAGCCCAGTGTGCCACGCACGATGATGGCACGGAGACAAGCACTTGCATCTCCATTCCCATACTTGCGCTTGCGCTTTCCCTTCTTTTCCAAAGAAGGTAGGTGGGCGGTGTGAGTGCCTTGCTTCAGTCACACACGTGCATTTTCCCTTCCCTCGCATCCACAATCACAGCACACCACCCACCCGCCTACCCACTCGCTGTATGATAACAGTGCAGTGTAGAGAACACCCATATTGCAGTGCATAGCACGTAACCAAACTGACTAACCGGTTTGGATCGAACCGACTCAAAGTGGCACGTTTGTCGAATTGAACCAAACTGGTTCAGGTTGAATTGGTTGTGGCCCAGCCTTACAGGCTGGTTTGAGCTTCGTTCGTTTGACCCATCTGGTTGAGTTGCAAGCAGTTTGACTCAAGCTACGTTCGAGTTCGGATCGACCGAGTCTACAGTATAGTCACGGTTTTCCTTCGAGTAGTGCCCAACTTTTCTTTGTGATCACTTGAAGGCTTGGTGTACATTTGTTACAAACCAGAGAATACAAACTTGCCATAATAAACCCATCTCACAAGAATAGCCGCATGTCACACCTGCGCAGTCCAGGCCGCGTGGGCCCGTCGAACTGGTTCGACGGGCTCAGCCAGACAGAAAAAAAACATTTTTTTTTGCGAGAAAATTGCGCAAACTCCTCGGCCCCCCGCCCACCCCTCACCCCCCCCCCCCCCCCCCCCCCCCTCCCTCTCTCCTTCCCCCACTCATGCAGACGCATGCACGCATGCCTGTCTGCCCACACGCATGCAGCGGCTCCTCTTTCCTTTCTCACTCTCAATCGCTCTCCACTTACTCTCCCACCCCCCCAAACAAGAGCCCATGTATCCTGCAGCACCACAACAGCCCCTTGCCTGCACAAGCACACACGCCAACATACCCACACACATGCAGCAGTTTCTCATACCCTTTTCACTCTCACCCCCCCACCCCCACCCCCCCAAACAGGAGCCCGTGTATCCCGCAGCACCACAACAGCCTCTTGCCAGGCCTGCTGCTCCCTCCCCCTCCCCCTCGCAACCCCTGCGCGCCCACCAGCCCCCTTCTGCTGCGGCAGGGGCTGGGGGCGCTTCTCTGGGCGGGGGGGGTGTGGCGGTGGGGTTGGGGGCAGGGCAACCAGGTGCTACTGCTGGTATCACCACTGGTGCTGCTGGCGGTGCTGCTTCTGCTGCTCCTGCGGCGGTTGTGGGCCCAGGGCCAGCAGCACCCATGCCCTCTCTTCGCACCACGAGCCCCAGCCCGCAGTTCTTCCCCTCCCAGCAGCAGCAGCAGCAGCAGCAGAAGCCACCACAGGCGTATCAGCAGTTGCTTCCGCAGCAGCAGGCAGCACAGCAGCAGCCGCAGCCGACAGGGGTGGCTGTGCCGGCAGGGGCGAGGCTGCGAGAAGGCATGGCAGGGCAGCAGGTGGGTGCTGCGGGGATGGGACCAGCTGGGGGTAGCGCTGCTGCGGGGGGACTGCCTGGTGCTGCTGCAGGCACGGCTGCTGCTGTTGGAGGGGCGGGGCGAGTGGCAATGGGTGGTGGGGCTGGTGGGGTGGCGGGAGTGGCAGCAGCAGGAGCGATGCAGCAGCCTGGAGTGCCCCTGCAGGCACATCAGCAGCAGCAACAGCAGCAACAGCAGCAGCAGCAGCAGCCTTCTCAGATGGTTGTTGGCCCTGGAGGCCGCATGATGCCTCGTGCCGCACCTGTAGGCATGGCAGCGACAGGAGGAGGAGCAGCAGGAGCACCTGCAGCAGGTATGGGTGTAGCCATACCAGCAGCCGTTCCCGGACCTCAGATGGCGAGGCCTGGAATGCCCATACCTGCCGGAGGCCCGGGAGGAGCAGTTGTTGGCATGGCAGGCCGCGGAGGACCAGGTTTGGCTGCTTCCCAGCCAGGCCTTGCCCGTGGGCTGGCACCAGGTCGGGGAGCAGGCCCGGGAGCAGGTCCGGGAGTAGGCTCGGTAGCAGGTTTTATGGGGCGCGGAGGTCTGGGAGTGGCAGCAGAGGCGGTGGGGGAGTCAGGGGGGGGTGCAGCAGCAGCAGGCATGGGTGGGCGTGGGGTGGGCCTGCAGCAGGGCAGGGCGGGGCAGACAGCAGTGGTGGGTGGTGGGGCGGGCATGGGGATGGGGATGGGGGGAGCAGGTGGAGCAGCAGCGGGGCCGATGGTGGGGGGGCAGGCCGGCATGGCAAGGCGTGTGGTAGGGGGCATTGTGGGGGTGGGTGGTCCCATGGCAGGGGCACCGGGAGGGCCTGTGGGAGTTGGTGGTGCGGGCATGGCAGGGGCTGCAGGGGGTGGAGCCGCTGGTGGTGCTGGCGGGCAGATGGGCCAGCGGCCTCCCCTGCAGCAGCAGCAACAACAGCTGCAGCCACAGGCACAGCAGCAGCAACAACAGCAGCAGTTCCAGGCACAGCAACGACCAGCACAGCCACCGTTTCAGCAGATGCAGGCGGGTGGAGGGGCAGGAGGGGCAGGAGGGGCAGGAGGAGTGGGTGGAGTGGTGGGGGGGCAGGCAGGGGGCGTGCAGCGAGTGGGTGTGGGGCAGGGTGTGCCAGGGCAGGGTGTGCCAGGGCAGGGTGTGCCAGGGCAGCAGGCCACCGCAGCAGGAATCGCTGCCGGGACAGCAGCAGGTGGGGCAGCAGCAGGCGGGCCATCAGGTCCCATGGGAGGAGGAGGAGCAGCAGCAGCAGGGCCTGGGACTGCCATGGCTGCTCGCCCGCTGCCTCACGCTCCTGCCGCTGCTGCCCCTGCTGCCGCTGTTGCTCCGGGCGCTCCACAACCCACATCCGCTGCGCCTGCTGCTGCTGCCCCCCCTGCTGCTGCTGCTGCTGCAGGAGCAGGCGGTGTGAGGCCGCCTGGGCAGCCCCCGCGGTACCTCAAGCTGTGGGAGGTGAGCAGGCAGGGGCCTTCCTGCTCCGTGGGAGTTAACCAGTGTGCCTTCCTCCGCTCAGCCTGCTTGCACGCTCATGGCTCACTCACTCCAACAATTTATCTTCTGAAGAATGGTCTTGTCAGTATCTTGTCATCTAGTTGCTTATCTTTTTCCCCGTGCAAACGGCGCTGAGTGACATCACATGCGACGGTGCAGTGCTATATCATATCGTCCTGACTCTCGCCAGTGCGTGTCCCTGCCCTTCTTGCTCCATTCACCTCAGGGAACACTTATGGGCCAACGCAAGGACAAGTCTGTTGAGATCTGCCGCATGGAGGTGAGATCTGTCGCATGGAGGTGAGATCTGCCGCATGGAGGTGAGATCTGCCGCATGGAGGTGAGGGTCAATAATGTTTCCAATGAAACCAACCAACCCCCCCCTTTTGCTCAACCTCTATCTATACCCATTTAATAATCCAACCACCACTCCTTACACTTGAAGTTTTCCTTCATCCGCATGATGCTTGTGTGCATGCGTGGATGCACGTGTGTGTGATGGAGTGAGTGACTGGGTGTGTGCGCATTTTGTTTGCCTTTGTGCGTACGTGCATGCATGTTCATGTGTGTGAGTGCATGTGCGTGTGCGTGTGCATGTGCATGTGTGACTAACAGGGATACCACCAGGCAACATCTCCCCCCAAGTATGACTCTCAACCAACCCCATCCCACCACTCAAGCTGTTTCATCCAAAAGTCCTTTCTCTTGTCCCCATTCCGCCAGCTAACAAACACTTTGCTATGCCCATTTGCCATCGTACCTCCACTAGATTTATGTTTTTCATTCTGCCTTTGTGTTTCGTTATCTATGTGTTACTGGTGTGAGCAATTGTATATGCGCTCCCCTCACCCTCATCATACCTCACCTCACTCTCTCTCCACTCTCCCACTCACAGCCTGGCAGCAGAATGGCCGGACACAATGCAGATAGTGCGTCTGGTGTCCCAGGAGTGCATGAACAACAAGTGAGTTGCACTGCTTCACACTCAACCTGCGTGCCACACATTAGATGTACATACTCAACTGAGGTACATTTCAAGCTGTAGTTGGCGAGAAATTTAGTCGGAAGCAAGCGCTACTACCACTCATGAGATCCAGGAGAGCTGAATTCATTTAAAAGATAAGCAGCAAGTAAGCTGTTCCAAGAGGCCACACTTTTGTGCTTGTAACCCCTCCTGCTCCCACATGGCCTTCATCTCTTGCTCCGCTCCTCAACTCCTTCCGTCCTTGCCACTCTTCCCCACTCTCCCAATCACCACCCACCCCAGGGAGCTGGCAGGCAAGGCGGAGCTTCTGGTGTTCCGCCCCATGTCATCACACGTGTTCCTGCAGCAGATGGCTGAGAAGAAACTCGTGAGTGCAGCAGATGGCTGAGAAGAAACTCGTGAGTGCAGCAGATGGCTGAGAAGAAACTCGTGAGTGCAGCAGATGGCTGAGAAGAAACTCGTGAGTGCAGCAGATGGCTGAGAAGAAACTCGTGAGTGCAGCAGATGGCTGAGAAGAAACTCGTGAGTGCAGCAGATGGCTGAGAAGAAACTCGTGAGTGCAGCAGATGAGCTGAGAAGAAACTCGTGAGTGCAGCAGATGGCTGAGAAGAAACTCGTGAGTGCAGCAGATGGCTGAGAAGAAACTCGTGAGTGCAGCAGATGGCTGAGAAGAAACTCGTGAGTGCAGCAGATGGCTGAGAAGAAACTCGTGAGTGCAGCAGATGGCTGAGAAGAAACTCGTGAGTGCAGCAGATGGCTGAGAAGAAACTCGTGAGTGCAGCAGATGGCTGAGAAGAAACTCGTGAGTGCAGCAGATGGCTGAGAAGAAACTCGTGAGTGCAGCAGATGGCTGAGAAGAAACTCGTGAGTGCAGCAGATGGCTGAGAAGAAACTCGTGAGTGCAGCAGATGGCTGAGAAGAAACTCGTGAGTGCAGCAGATGGCTGAGAAGAAACTCGTGAGTGCAGCAGATGGCTGAGAAGAAACTCGTGAGTGCAGCAGATGGCTGAGAAGAAACTCGTGAGTGCAGCAGATGGCTGAGAAGAAACTCGTGAGTGCAGCAGATGGCTGAGAAGAAACTCGTGAGTGCAGCAGATGGCTGAGAAGAAACTCGTGAGTGCAGCAGATGGCTGAGAAGAAACTCGTGAGTGCAGCAGATGGCTGAGAAGAAACTCGTGAGTGCAGCAGATGGCTGAGAAGCAACTCGTGAGTGCAGCAGATGGCTGAGAAGCAACTCGTGAGTGCAGCAGATGGCTGAGAAGAAACTCGTGAGTGCAGCAGATGGCTGAGAAGAAACTCGTGAGTGCAGCAGATGGCTGAGAAGAAACTCGTGAGTGCAGCAGATGGCTGAGAAGAAACTCGTGAGTGCAGCAGATGGCTGAGAAGAAACTCGTGAGTGCAGCAGATGGCTGAGAAGAAACTCGTGAGTGCAGCAGATGGCTGAGAAGAAACTCGTGAGTGCAGCAGATGGCTGAGAAGAAACTCGTGAGTGCAGCAGATGGCTGAGAAGCAACTCGTGAGTGCAGCAGATGGCTGAGAAGCAACTCGTGAGTGCAGCAGATGGCTGAGAAGCAACTCGTGAGTGCAGCAGATGGCTGAGAAGAAACTCGTGAGTGCAGCAGATGGCTGAGAAGAAACTCGTGAGTGCAGCAGATGGCTGAGAAGAAACTCGTGAGTGCAGCAGATGGCTGAGAAGAAACTCGTGAGTGCAGCAGATGGCTGAGAAGAAACTCGTGAGTGCAGCAGATGGCTGAGAAGAAACTCGTGAGTGCAGCAGATGGCTGAGAAGAAACTCGTGAGTGCAGCAGATGGCTGAGAAGAAACTCGTGAGTGCAGCAGATGGCTGAGAAGAAACTCGTGAGTGCAGCAGATGGCTGAGAAGAAACTCGTGAGTGCAGCAGATGGCTGAGAAGAAACTCGTGAGTGCAGCAGATGGCTGAGAAGAAACTCGTGAGTGCAGCAGATGGCTGAGAAGAAACTCGTGAGTGCAGCAGATGGCTGAGAAGAAACTCGTGAGTGCAGCAGATGGCTGAGAAGAAACTCGTGAGTGCAGCAGATGGCTGAGAAGCAACTCGTGAGTGCAGCAGATGGCCGAGAAGCAACTCGTGAGTGCAGCAGATGGCTGAGAAGAAACTCGTGAGTGCAGCAGATGGCTGAGAAGCAACTCGTGAGTGCAGCAGATGGCTGAGAAGCAACTCGTGAGTGCAGCAGATGGCTGAGAAGAAACTCGTGAGTGCAGCAGATGGCTGAGAAGCAACTCGTGAGTGCAGCAGATGGCTGAGAAGCAACTCGTGAGTGCAGCAGATGGCTGAGAAGGAACTCGTGAGTGCAGCAGATGGCTGAGAAGAAACTCGTGAGTGCAGCAGATGGCTGAGAAGCAACTCGTGAGTGCAGCAGATGGCTGAGAAGCAACTCGTGAGTGCAGCAGATGGCTGAGAAGCAACTCGTGAGTGCAGCAGATGGCTGAGAAGGAACTCGTGAGTGCAGCAGATGGCTGAGAAGCAACTCGTGAGTGCGCCAGGGGGCAATGGTAGCTCGCAGAAGCTGGCAGCAGCTGTGGGAACAATGTGCTAGAGGTGCCCTGCATTGCTCCGCATGCCCTTGCAATGCTCGGCATGGGCTCGCATGCGTTCTAGGGGCAGATCGCTCAGAAGGAACTTGTGACGGGTTGAGGGAGATGGTTTGAGACCATGTTAGATTTGGTTACAGAAGAGAGGGAAGTGAGAAATAGCAAGTTTAGAGTGTGAGAGGGCACGATGGGACCATGACATTCATTGTGACATGATGCACCATGATTGCTTCCATGCTTGTGCGTTGCACCATCCATGCCAGCATGTATGTACCACACCCTTGCACATGTGTTCAACGAGCAAACACACTTATGCAGCATTCATCCCCCATCTCAATCTCCTGCACACACACATACCTGCACATGACATCCTTGCATTCGTGTTCTTGTTTATGCGCTTTTATCCATCACATGCACATGCATCCATCAGTGCACCGTCATTCAGCTGCCATCCCAAACTCTCCTCCTCGGCACCGTACCGGACCGATCCAGCCGCCTTGTTGGCATGCTCTTTCCCAAGGTAATTCACCCTTACTTGTTGTTTAGCGTCTTCCTTTGTTGAAAGCGGTGCACTAGGACCTAGATCTTATCTGCACAGGAGAGAGACAATCATATCCAAGTATCTCGTTGAAGAGAGCACACCATGTGCATGAGCAAGCGGCTGCATCCCTGGTGCTTCCCTTCCATGCTTGTTCTCTTTGCTTCTCCTTGCTGCTTCCCATGTAGTATTGCTTCCCTCCACCTTTCCTGACATCCAACAATCATCTCCTCGTCATGACTGGGCACCCATGGTCGTACCTGATGTGCATCAGGGTCCTTGTTAGCAGACCAAATCGGTCTGATGGTCTGAAAATCAGACCTACTTTTTTAATTTCATCTGATTTTTTAGACAAACGATTCTAGCTCGTCTGAACCATAAGACCACAAATTTTAATTCGTCTGTAAAAACAGACTCAGCGTTATATTTCGTCTGAGGAAACAGATAGCGCGTAAAGTTTCGTCTGACACCAAAAGTATCGAGAGTAGCCCCCTCCCCCCACCCCCCCCCCCTTTCTCCCCCCCCTCCCCCTCCTTCAAACATCCCCACACCCCAAGTCCCTCGCTCCTCACTACCCAGCCACCCAGTCCGAGCCCAGATTCCCCTGAAGTCCCCCCCGTGTCGCAATTACACGAAGCTCGACTCGAGCCCCTCCCAGCCCCAATACCCCCTTGTACCTCTCGCAGCGCAGCCCAACACCCCAACCACCCAGTCCCTCTTTCAGCCCAACTTCCTCGAGAGTCTCGCAGCCCAACACCCGCCTGCCCCCTTCCCCCCTCCCTCCTCTCGCAGGCCAACACCTCCCCCCCTCTCCCTCCCCTCCTCGATCAGGTCGTATCGCTCCGATAGAAGAAAAACGATACAATACTTCAATTTTCGAACATCAGACAACAATATTTGATTTATCTGAAAAAACAGACACGGCTTTGGCAGTCGTCTGAAAAATCAGACTATTATTTTTCCCTCGTCTGAATGTCAGACGGAACGAAATTATTTTTTATATCTTTCAGACGGGCTTAAATCCTAGCAAGAGCCCTGATGTGCATCCATGTGCTGCCTGTGCGTTTGAATGCTAAACCCTAAGCTTGTTGAGCATATTTGGATGGCTGAGTTGAGTTCTGTAAATTGCTTTGCTTTGCCACTATGCTGTGCTGTGCTGTGCCACCATCACAGGACATGGTGCAGTTCCAAGGTGCCCGCCCTCCACAGCAGCAGCAGCAGCAGCCACCACCGCAACAATAACAGCAGCAGATGCAGCGATAACTGCAGCACGAGACCGCAGCTTATCAATTTCGTCATGTTGTGTTCTCTGCTGTTAGTGTTACCCCTCAATCTAAACTTATGTACCGTATTATTCCGACTACAGGGCCCGGGGGACTCTCTACAAAAGCAGAAAAACTAGCTAGGGTGAACATATAGGTGGCATGCAATTTTTTAAGACCCGGGTACACTAATTTGTCTATCAGAGTTATTGGATTTACCATGTACTGATTGTTTAAAAGGGGGGGAGGGGGGAGGGGGGGGGGGGGGGGGGGGAGGGGGGGGCTTCTATTCGTAACGAAAAAACCATTCGCGTGCAAGTTTCGCGCGAGCGGCGCGTCAGATTTGTGTCAAAATTCGGGTCTGACACATAAAATGTGTCAGAATTCAAATCTGACACAAACAGTGTGTCAGAATTCAAAATTGTGTCTCTAAAAGCTGATGCGCAATTGCATTTACAACCACTGTATACAGAAAGGGGAGGTCTTATTATGTTTAGGGGCAAAAGGGGGGTCCTCACATTGAAGTACCAAAATAAGAGTCCCAGTATGCTATAGAGAGTCTCAGAGGACCCTTTACTGGCGGGTCCTATAGCCGGAATATTAGCAATTTTTATATAATAGTTTAGTGTAGTTTGTGCATCGTCAGGGTCGTCGCTATCAGACATTTCTATCTATTTGTCTTATATTCAGATAGAGTTTTTAGAGTTCATCTGATTTTCCAGAAATTGATTTTTGTAATTTCTGATTGATAAGGAGCAGTTTTTGAGTTTATCTGATCAATCAGATTCTTGTTTTGGTTTCATCTGATACCGAACCCAATTACCGTCATCGCCCGGATAGAAGACATATATGTCTTATCTTATACATTAGAAAAATAGCTTGCTGTGTCTTGTATTTGGGACGGTTTAGGGTGTCTTATAATTCGTATAAATAGACAAAATTTATATGAACCCTATAACATTGCCAAAGTGTGTAGAAACCACCCAGAGGGTGGATTCATTGAATTCGGCGCACATTGACGCGATTGCATGCGTCGCCACCACGTGCCACGTGATGAGACGCAGAAATGCTGCTTATGCTGGCAGAATCCCGCCCTGCTGGCAGCATCTCATGATGCTGCCAGTGTCGTTTTGCTGTCAGCAGCGACAAGACGCTTCTAGAACGCTGCCAGCACCACGATGGCAGCATGCTGCCATCGTGAGCTGTCCTCTACGAGGACATTTCTCGTAGAGGAGCGGCTCGTCTTCCACGGGAGGGGGCACTCTGGCACGGGGGGTAGTCGGGCTTGAGCTTCATTTTGAGCTCATGGAACTCAAAACTTGCTCAACCTTAGCTCTAAGCAGGCTCTATCATGCGTAGTAAGCACCGTGCAAGCGCGCCGTCTCCTCTCCCTAACCTCCAGGTTACGAACTATGGGCGCATCAACTCGCCCGGTGACGATATCCGTGTAGACATGGCGAAAGAGAAGCGCCAGCCGGCGGGATGCTCTAACGCTGGCTCAGGAGCGAGCTGTGACAAGGACGAAGGCGACGAAGACCATGGCGACGAGGGTGAGGAGGATTGGCCGGAGAACGGTCACGACGACAGCTCATCTGGTGACGACGTGCCTGCAGGAGGCATCGACGATGACGATTGGTGGACGCGGCCGATCGGCTCCGGCGACAATGTGGAGGAGTGGCGCGCTGGTGACGATGACAACGATGGAGGCGCGGATGCGGTTGCTGATGTGGCGGCGGATACGACGGTAGAAGCGGCCGCGGATGCGACGGTAGAAGCCCCGGCGCGTGGTGCGGATGCGGATGCGGATGGACCAGCGGATGTGGATGCGGATGCGGATGGACCAGCGGATGTGGATGCGGATGCGGAGGCGGATGACGAAGCGGGAACGGATGCGGATGCGGATGCAGAGGCGGATGCCGAAGCGGGAGCGGATACGGCTGCGGATGCGGAGGCGTGGGATGCGGGTGCTGGCCGGGATGCGATATTCTTTGAAGGCGAGGACGACGCGGACGACCCATGGCGCGTCTCCAACGATGACAATGTTCCTCTGTTGAAGAGGAAGCTGCGTCATCGCCTACGCGTCCCCCGAAAACGAACCCGGGTGGTGCTCTCGGACGACGAAAGCCCGGCGGAGGAGCAGCGACCCCGCCTCAGTGCTGCTGACAAGGGGAAGGGTCTGGCCATGGAGGTTCTTGCTAAGGCTCACCGTCGCGTCCGCCAAAGTAAGAAGAAGCGGAAGGACGATGGCGACCCGGGTTCCAGCAAAGGCGCGAAGAAGCAGAAGAAGAAGGGCGGCAAGAGCAAGGACGACATCGTCGTCAACGAGGCGCTCGGCAGTGACGATGACTACGCCGAGGCTGCAGGCCCCATGCCTTCATTCCCTGAGAAGGCTAAGCCAAAGGATCCCACCCTCCGTAATGCTAACTCCCGCCCCCCTTCCCCACACAGTCGCGGGGTTAAACGGTCCAGACGATCCTGGACCGTGCGCGAAAAGCTGAAGTGGGCGCGTCGATATGAGGAGCTCGGCTCCCTCAAGAAGACCTCGGCCGAATCCTTGGCCTCAATCGCGTGCATCCGACGCTGGAGCGCGCAGGCTGCATCGGGCATGTACAAAGGCGCGGCGAATTCTCGCAAGCGCATGCACGGGGCGGGCCGCCACTCACACCACCCCGACATGGAGGCGGCGCTGTACCGCTACATCTGCCTGCATCGCTCGAATGGGGTGGCGATCTCGGTCAAGGACACTCAGAAGTGGAGCCGCGAGTGGATGAAGAAACACCACCCCGGGAAGAAATGGAACGCGAGCTCACACTGGAGCCAACGTTTCCGCGACCGCTGGAACCTCGTCATGCGGGTGAAGACCAAGGTTGGCCAACGGTTGTCGGCTGGTGAGTGGTTCCAGTGTTGAATTCGTTGTGGATTGTCCTCTCCCTGTGCATATCCCCTTAAAGACGTGCACATCCCCACTCATCCCCTCCTTGTGTGTGGTTTTTTGCTTTGGCAGAGTGCGCAAAAGACTGCGAGTCGTTTTGGAAGTTCGTGAGAATCAACAGGGCGCGGCACAACATAGACCTGAGCCGCATCATCAACGCGGACCAAACGCCCCTCTTCGTTGAGATGCCGGCCGAGAGGACCCTTGACCACCGTGGCGCGCGTTCAGTCCCGATCCGCACGGCAGGATACGAGAAGACGCTGTCAGATTTATATGACATAGCTACTGTAGGCTATAGTGGGGTAGCACATATGGGGTACAGTTTTCTAGGGTTTACATTTGTACCCAACTTCCCCTTAGTCAATTCATTCTCGTTCAGTTTCTCATGGTATCGAGCAGGTTCCCCTGTGGGAACTGTTCCTAGGGCCCACCACATTTTTTTTTCCTGCCCGGAGCGCGCTCTCCACTGCCCGAGTCGCGCTCCCCTCTCTCGACCCTGTCGCGCCGCCTTAGCGGCCCCGTCGCTTCGCGCTTGCGGCCCCGTCGCGTCGCCCTCGCGGCCCCTTCACGTCGCGCCGCCCTCGCGGCCCCGATCCGCCGCCCTCGCGGTTCCTTCGTGTCGCGCCGCCCTCGCGGCCCCTAGCCGCACTCGCGGCCCCGTCGCCTACCCCTGCGGCCCCGGCGCCGCCCTTCCCTGCCTCGGCGCCGCCTCTGCTGGCCCCGTCGCCTACCCCTGCGGCCCCGAAGCTGCCCTTCCCGGCCCCGGCGCCGCCTCTACTGGCCCCGAC